AATATACATATAAAGCATATGTTAGAATATATATATATGGTGTATGTTAGAATATGTATATATGGTGGTTGTCTTCTGAGAAAAGAAGTGAGTGGCTTATGGTGTGATGAGAGGGAACCGTAATTTTCACTGTGTGTATAATATGCACAAATCACCTAATCAAAAATGATTTTTTAAGTTGAAAATCACTTTTTTTTCATAAACCCATTGTATATTCTAGGAGCTTGCTAGACTGTCCACTGTAAACTTGACTGTCATTCAATTCCTATGAAAGGCATTTGAGATAGACAGCATTTCTTAATCATCAGTAAGAAAAATGTGATCTTTCTTAAGTCATCTAAGAGTTATAGGCATATCAAGTTAGGTCACCTGCAGTCAGTGTAACTGAGATATGTCTCATCATTAAGAACATGGGCTATGAGTCTAACTTCATATCCTGCCACTTACTAGCAGCATAATGGTAAAGTAACTGACTTAGCCTCTCTCTCCCTGAGGTTCCTTACCAGCAAAATAGAGATAATATAGAGACGTTTGGAAGATTTCATAACATTGTGCAAGCAATGTGTCTACAAAGGTGTCTTTCGAAATTATTATTTCCTTCTATTTGCTTTGCGTTTAGTTTCTTCTATTGGTAAATGTGAGCTATAAGTGCTTCCTATAAAATACCTTATCAAGTTATACCATTAAGTTAATATTCTGAATTTTTCTTTCTTTTTTCTTTTTTTTTCAGATGGAGTTTCACTTTTGTTGCCCAGTGCTGGAGTGCAATGGTGCGATCTCAGTTCACTGCAACCTCCGCCTCCCAGGTACAAGTAATTCTCCTTTCTCAGTCTCCCAAAGAGCTCAGATTACAGGCATGTGCTATCACGCCTGGCTATTTATTTATTTAGTTTTTTGTATTTTAGTAGAGTTCAATGCAAGAAATAATTGTGTGAGGAACTGATACTGAAGACATTATTCATTATGTTATTATTTAGTGTATTTTAAAATATTTTTGACAGATACTTAGAATTTTATATCAGAAAAAATCCTTGTGAAGACAGTACAGGCTTTCATTAACCAGATAATACATGACCACCTTTTTTTTTTTTTTTTTTTTTTTTTTTTTTTTTTCAGAAAAGCAGAACTACCTTGCCATTTCCTTTGCTAATTTCTGGTCTAATTGCAATTATTATTATTTTTACTAGATGTTTAAATTAAAAGTACAATACATAACTTCATACATGAATATGGGAAAACAAAATTAAGAGTCAAATAGTACAGAAGGTTATATAATAGCAAATTTTTCACATCCTTCCCAAATGAACCTCTACAGCTTTGTGTATATCCTTCTGGAAATTTTGTATGCATATATTAACATAGGAGTTAATATGTGTATATAGGCATGTGTCTATCCTTTAAAAAAAAAAAAACAAATGGGCGCATATTGTATTCACAATTTTGTTGTTGTTGTTGTTGTTTTCTTGTTTGAAATAGGGTCTTACTCTTTTGCCCAGAGTGGCATGCAGTGTGACAATCAGGGCTTATTGCATCCTCAGCCTCCTGGGATCAATCCATCTTCCCACTTCGGCCTCCTGAGTAGCTGGGACTACTGGTACATGCTACCACACCGGCTAATTATTATAGTTTTTGTAGAGACGGTTTTGCCAGGTTGCCCAGAGTGGTCTTGAATTCCTGGGCTCAAAGGATCTGCATACCTCTGCCTCCCAAAGTGCTGTAATTGTAGGCGTGAGCTAAGGTGCCCGGCCCATGTCCATGGTTTTGTACAAGTATTTTTATTTCACTTTGTCTTATACACCTTTCCATATTAATTTCTAGTAGATCTCTCATTCTTTTTGCAGTTTCAGAGTTCTATTTATTGTTATCTGTTGAAAATGCCTGTTGTTGTTAGTTGCTAGAATATTTAATTATATTACATTTACTTCTAAAAATTTGTAGGAGCTAAAAACTCACTGGAAAGCACATTGTTAATTAGTTGGAACCTTGTACGCTACTATATGTAGGTTATTTAGTTCAACCACTCCCCAAAATGTTTTAAGAAATTCTGCACCCAGCACTATTCCTTAAAGAAAATATTGTTCTTTTAATTGTAGAAATAGTGCCAATGCAATATTTCTTGTTGAAAGCAAGTTGATGACATCTTAAAATGAAAAATTTCAAGTAAGACAATTATTGCTAAAAATCTGAAGAAAAATGACGTGAGAACTAGAAAAATGGCTCTGATTTTATTTTGATACCAAAATAATGATATAATCAGTAACCTAAAAATAATTAAAACCACATTAACAAAAATAATTGGTTTGTAATGTTTACATTTTCTTAATAAATAGATGAATTAAATTATTCCTATTTTAAGGGGACTATTCATTGATTGTTTACATTGGCTAATGACTGAAGTTCTGGTTAATGTTCAATCTTCTCAACTTTTTTGTTCCTGCCCTAGCTCCCATCTCTGTCAGTCACACTATATACCAAACTCTCTGAATTTAAGCTCACTTCTTTATCTTTTTCTGAAGATGACATCAAATGGTTTTTCTACTAACATACATTCCCTGGCATACTTCTCCTGGCTCACTAAAACTATTATGAGTAGCCACAACATTGTGTTCATTACTTTTTGAAAATACTTTTCAACACATATAAAATTATTGAATTTTAGGAAATAAGCAGAACTATAACATCCTGAGAAAACACAAAGACATCAAATATATGAGCACCACCATGTACCTGCAAATCTTTAAGCAAAATAGTAAAAGTGAGATCTGTGTTCTCATTATAAGGCTAGCTATATTAATAAACTCAGAAAACAACAACTGGATCTTAAAAGAGCAAAATGAAAAAGTCATTTTGTCCCGTAACATGTTATATCTTCCTGTCAACCATTTTATAAGATAGAAATGTTAGGGTTGGCTCACACCTGTAATCTAAGCAGTTTGGGAGTCCGAGGCTGGAGGAACACTTGAGGCCAGAAGTTCAAGACCAATCTGGGCAACATAGCAAGACCCTATCCCTACAAAAAAAATTAAAATTACTGGACATGGTCATACAATCCTGTTAGTCCTAGCTATTTGGAAAGCTGAGGCAGGAGGATCCCTTAGCCTGGGAGTTTGAGGCTGCAGTGAGCTATAGTCACACTACTGCACTCCAGCCTGGGTGATTGGACAAGACTCTGTCTATAAAAAAAAAAAAAAAAAAGCACTCAAATTTCCGATATGATAAGCAAAACTACTGATGGAATAAGGCAGACTGACACTCTGATATTAAACTAAGCAAAGAGATTGTAAGTTTAGAAACTAGGGGATCAATCTACTATACAATCACTACATCTGCATCTGCCAATAAACCTAAAGCTAAGTTGATAGCCAAATTTGTTTTCCTTAAAATGGGAACATTTCTTTATTTAAAGCATTTGTGTATTTTTCTCCACTAAAATGGTTATGCTAGCATTCAAATTCTTTATCATATATGAGACTTCCACCTGTGTCCCAAATGACCACAAAGAGGAACAATGTGGGTTATTGTTTGATTACAACCATGATCACAGCATTGAAGAGTATTTGACAGAGATTTAATAATGGCCTTTCAATAGAGTGGGACAGAGTCTAGGAAATATCAACCTTAGATATAATAATTACAAACCCTACTAAAAACCAAGTAATATTTTCTCAGTTCTGAAAATTGTCCAAAAAGTGTTAACTCCCTCACTTGTCAGAAAAACACTGCATAGCAGTCAAGCCAAACAAAGACTCAGCAATGCCATGGTTAAGAATTATAATTGAAACTTAGGTCACAATAAATCACATCAACTTACCATATAATTATTCCAGTTCTATTTTTAATCCTATTAAAGACCGTTATTACAATGATATAATTACAGCCCCCAAATACTCCATACCTGGAATGTGGCAGCTTCTGGAGCTTTTGGATCAATTTCACTCAGCTCATTGGACAAGTGCCAACTGGTATTACCAATGGTATCTAAAGTTGTGAAAACTCAACAAAGCTTTAAAAACCTTTAGAAACAATAGCTCATCGGGATCTCTAAAGAGTAATGTTACATCATGAAGACAAACATTCTCATTTTCTTTCTACTGCAGGTTTCTTTTTCTGCCTGCACTTTGAGGTTGCAGTAGAGTGTGTGTGTCTATAGAAGGTACTGTATGTATAGCTATGAGGAGGTCTTACCCTCTGTCTTTTTATCTTTCTGGATCCTTCCTCTCTACCCTTGTTCTTCCTCTTCTCCTCTCATAATTCTATAATGGGTCTCTCCACATGTTGCTGCATCTTCTCATGTTTATTGAATAGAATTTTGATACTTATTCTTAATTTGAAAAACTGATAAGTGAAAACATTTGTTTTATCATATATTAAGTGCTTTATTCAACTATATTAATGTCACATATTTTAAAGTTATATAACTTTTAGCTAAATTTTTGGAGAGGTTTTAGGTTGAAATTCTTTGAAATAATTTCCCTATCTTTGCTTTTATTAAAGATAATAGGGCCAGGTGCAGTGACTCACACCTGCAATCCCAGCCTTTTGGAAGGCCAAGGCAGGTGGATCATGAGGTCAATACTGAGACGATCCTGGCCAACATGGTGAAACCCAGTCTCTACTGAAAAATACAAAAATTAGCTGGGCATGGTGGCACATGTCTGTAGTCTCAGCTACTTGGGAGGTTCAGGCAGGAGAATCGCTTGAACACGGGAGGCAGAGGTTGCAGTGAGCCAAGATCCCACCATTGCACTCCAGTATAGGTGACAAAGCAAGACTATGTCTCAAAAAAAAAAAAAAAAAAGATAATAGAGAAAAAAGGAAACAAATGGGCAAAATAATATGGGAAGAACGTAAGTCTGTTGCTAGCAAGTTTCCAGCTTTAACCTGTAACCAGTGGTTAGGCAGTTTTTTTGTTGTTGTTATTCTGTCAGGGGAATGTTTGAACCTGGGGCTGTGTCAGTACAAGACAAAATGAACTACGACAAAAAGAAAGAAAAAGACAGCCTACCTTCAAGTTCATCCAACTCAGAAAAAGTGCTGGGCAGCAATGCCAAATTTTTAGCAACTGTCCAATTGCTTCAGCCATGATGCATGAACAGCAAACTCCTAAGTGCTGCAGGTAACATTTGAAAGTAGAACTTATTCCTCTTCCCAAAGTAGATGGGAGTTCCCTAACTCCCCACTTCCCTATACCAAACACAATCTTGGAAAGATGCTAATCACCCAAGGTGAATCAGCCCAAAGGCAGTCAGCATATAGGAAGAGAAACTCAAACCTAGATGGTCAATCTTTAAATGATCCAGCACTGACTAGGCAGGTTTAATTTTCAAACAGAATCATGCACTGGTCATTTTCTCCTGCTGCAGGTCTACTTTTAATTCTCAAGTCTTCCCAGAGAGCAGCAGACACAGCAATACAACCAGATTCAAAACTCAAATCTGTGCTGCCTTAACAGGCTTGAAGGTGAGTTGGATCATATCTAGTTGCCTCTCAAGAGAGAAGCAGGGCATGCTGAGCCACCTCAGCCCCACCGCATATCCAGAGATTCATATGGGTGCTAAGCTGGCTGTAGAACCACCACCAGCAGTAGAATTTATCAAATGCATTGAACAAGGAGCCACGTCTTACCTACCCTACTGGTTTTCTAGGAGTTAGGAAGGAACTGGTGGGGATAAGATTCTTAAAATATACAGAGACATCAACAACATTGTTAGGCCCTCAGATTGAGCTGGTTCTGCTAACACACTGCATGATATGTAAGCAGATGCATTGATGTTTGCTCATTAAAGCCTATATATTATGTAGTAAAATGAAATCTCCCAGCTTAGACTTTACCCCTACTTTAGTCCTTCTCCAACATTGTAGCCAAGGTAATCTTAAATCCACCATGAAAGTATTGCCTTTTCTCTGCTTTACAAACACTCCTTGTTCACAGCAGCAGCTTCTTGTAGATAATGAGAATCAGCTGTGGAACTTTTTAAAAAAATTCAAATTCTCCAACTGTTCCCAGAGATTCTGATTCCATGGTTGTAGGGTGGGGAACTCAGGAACCTGAATTTTTAAATTACAGGCCATGTTTGAGACCTGCTGCTTTATAGTTCTTCCAAATGCTTTTTGCATATTTAGTTCATGTGAGTCACACACTGACTGCTGAAAAAGGTCCGTGAGACTAGATCTGGTAATCACTGAGAAGTGATGTATGTGTTTCACACACGTGTGCAAAGAACAGGCACTGTTTAAAACTGCCAGTGTTTTATGTTTCAGATGCCTCGGCCCTTGCCTCAGCAGCTAAGGATATAACGTGCATGGGATGTACAGCTACAAGATGGTGGAGCCTCCATCAGTCAGGATACCTGAGTAACTATATGGATCAGAGCCCCTGCTCCCAATACAACCCAGAATTGGATATGTAAGATGAACAAGAAATACATCAAGAAATAAACACCTATTTCAGTAAGTCACTTAGGTTTAGGGGTTCATTTAGCATCATAGCATAAGCTTAGTCTATCTTGACTGATAGGTTTTACAAATGATTAAGTTACATTTTTAATGATATATTAATATACTAACAACCACTAGATTTGTTAATGATTTTGCTTTTCAATGTCTCTTGCCATGTTTCTATTCTGAAAAGTATCCTGCGATTGTAAAACTATTCATTTACCTTTTGTGTATGCAAATAAGGATTTTCTTAATATAATACGACCAGAGGAAAAAACAATGAAAGCAAAATGTGGAGAATGCTGAGTTGCTAAAGCTAAAAAGAATCTCCTGATCATTTATACTCCCAGTTTAAAAATTTAGTTTCCTATCAGCCTTATTCTCTCAATAAGTATCTTTATAATCAGAAAATGTAAATTTGAACTTGTAAAACACATGTAGGCTCGTAAATGCCATTTTTATGTTTACATATTATGTCTCCCATAAAAGTACACTAGAAAATGTTTGAAAATAATTACTTTTGGAGCTACAAAGAATACATCTCAATTGTCTTTCACACAATACCCTTAACATACTACTAGCAACCTTAACGGTAGGATGTGAGCGGGGACTTGGTGTTTATCTAGTGAAGACTTTCATTTTTATAGATTGGGTAACCAAGGCCTAGAGAGGTCAAGTGTATCTCTCAAGGTCACGTACTGGAAAAAGAACAGAGCCAGAACTCAGGGTTTGCCACGGGAAATGCTGCCACATGAAGTTTCCCTCCATCTTTTACTCAAGCAATTAACTTACTCTCTCAGTTCACCCAAACATGTGGTTAAAGTGGCATGATGTCCCACAAAGGGTTTTCCAGCTATGAAAGCTAGGTCAAACTATTTACTTATTTACTTATGTAGTTTTCTTAGTTTACTATTATTATTATTTCGAGACAGAGTTTTGCTCTGTTGCCCAGGCTGGAGGGCAGTGGCGCAATCTTGGCTCACTGCAACCTGCACCTCTCAGGTTCGAGCGATTCTCCTGCCTCAGCCTCTACAGTAGCTGGGCCTATAGGCGCCTGCCATCACGCCTGGCTAATTTTTGTATTTTTAGTAGAAGTGGGGTTTCAACACATAGGCCAGGCTAGTCTCGAATTCCTGACCTTGTAATCCGCCCACCTCAGCCTCCCAAAGTGCTGGGATTACAGGTGTGAGCTACCAAGCCCATCAGAAATGTAGCTTCTAATTTGTAAAATAACAGCAAATAGTGCTTAACTTGGAGTTCTTCTATGATTAGAAAGGACATGACATATATACAGTGTTAGGCCCATTGTTCTATGGCCTTAAATAAAAAAATCTGGATTTATTCCCTTCAGATTTCAGCCTGTTCTTCTAGACCAGGGAACAGCAAACTATGACCCGTGAACCAAATCTGGCCTGCCAACTGTTTTTATAAATTCTGTTTTATTTGAACACAGCCATGCCCATTCATTTATGTATTGTCTATGGCTGGTTTGGGACTATACCAGCAGAGGTGACTAGTGTGACAGACTTTATGGCCCAAAAAGCCTAAAATATTTGTTCCCTGGCCCTTTTCAGAAACATTGTTAGACCATATTCTAAACTGCTGAGGTCATTTTGATTCTTTCACCCACAGTGTCATTCAGGATCCCTAATTACTGAGTCAACCACAAATTTGCCTCTGTTAAGGTTGTTCAGAAAAATATTTAATGAGACATGGACAAGGAAAGTCACAAAACAGGTCAAGTGACTACCTTCAAGGTTGACAATGACTACCACTCATTGAACACATTAATCTAAAGAAGTATGAATCCACTAAATGCTACTATCACCCAGAACTCATTTATCAGCAATGCCACATATTAGTTAAATATCTTTCTAATATGCAAAAGATGAGGTACAGACTCCAAATGATCACTGTTTTCCCCTCTGAAATGGTTTCAAGTCTATGATGTTTCTATATCCTTCAACTCCATTTCAACCCCATTTTTGAAATTTGGATTATCCACTTAACTACAGTTTTCTGGCAGATCTCTCATTATCCAGAATGAGATCCAGAATTGCTAGCTGTCACCAAACCTGATTCTTCTTTTTTCTGGGCATATAGTGACACTATCTTTCCCAGATTCCTTTTTGAGCAGCGGTGCTCAAGTGATCATTTTTTAGCTAATGGAAGGACTACAAAAATGATGTGTGCTATTTCCAGGCCTGGCTAAAGAGAGCTCCCATTATGAGCTCCATGTTCTTTTCTTTTCACATACTTGCAGCAGATAAATATGGTGACTTGAGAAGCATTAATTAAATATGACAGAGCCTTGAGATAGAAGGTACCTGGGTCCTTGAATCCACCCTTAGAGGAGCTCCAAATGTAGGCTCAAACAAGAATAAACTTCTCTTGTATTTAAGCCATCTTATATATTTTGAGGTTTGTTACATGAGGGAGTATAATTGTCAAAAATATACTATGATTCTGGTAAGATTATTACCAAAGGTTTTGTGACCACATAGGAAAATACTCTGGTTTTCTGGACCAAGAGGTTTCAATTCATGTAAAGTAGATGTAGTTGTTCTTTCACTGTATCCCTGTGTGCCTCAGCCTATAAATTTCTATTTTACAGTATTTCTTTTGTACTTTCTTGTAGTTCATTCTTCTTAATTAAGAAAAATAAAGCAAAACTGAGTCTGAGTGTGACTGTACACACCTGGAGTCACAGCTACTTGGAACACTGAGCTGAGAGGATCTCTTGAGCTCAGGAGTTCAAGCCTAGCCAGGGCAATATGGCAAGACCCCATCTCTAAAAAAAATAAATTAGCTAAGTAGGCATTAAACTTACTCTGTCTTTTAATAAACTGTTAAACAACACAAGCCCACCCATCCCTCTTGCCTTTATTGTAGGACTTTCCTTTTCACTGGTTTTTTTAGTGTTTCTATAACCTCACTCTGTGATTTGTCCCTGGTAATGTGTTCCTCTTTTGTTTCTTCTAAGAACAAAGTTCAGAAAACAACTTGTCAGATCACATTGGTTTCTCCCCATTTTGCTTTCTTATTAAGATTATTCATGGTCTTATTTGCCAGAGTTTGATTTTTTGGGTATGTAACCAACACTTACATTAAGAAACCCTATTCTGGTAGATGTGGAGAAAGATTCATCACTCCCATAATCACCTCATGTCTCTGGCAACTTTTGTAGTCTATTTGTAAAAAGCCTTATTTCATCCTGTATCTAGATACAATATTCAATACTTTTTAACACTTGTATTTTAGTTTGCTGTACATGGAGATAACATGCTTCTATTGATCCTGATGCCTCTCCATCTTATTTACAGAGAAGATGCAGGGCAGGCTGTTGACACTTTTTGACATATCTTTCTGGGCTTGCTCTTTCAGCCCCACATTTTCACTTACTAGCTTCAAAAGCTATGAGGTCCCATTCAAGACACCCTACTCTCTAAAGTCCTCTTTATGCCAGTTTGACTTAGCTTCAATTGGCACAGAAAAAATTTGGGACTGAAAGATGTGATTGTAAGCTCATATGGCAAACAGGAGAAGATAGCTCTGTGCAAAATAGTTCATGGCTAACAGAATGATGTTTCTTTAGCTAGCAAATTTGTATGTTGTGAATGCCATTAGCATGATGGCATGTACTTGACAACTTGTACAGTTATACTGCCATCTATGTAGATGCTTTTTAAAAATTTTAGTAAAAAATGCGAAAGTGAGTTTTACCTCAGTGAATTTCTACAACATGCAAATTAGCTTGTCATAAATAAATGAATTTATAATATGCATATTTTCTAGTTTGATTTTGGAACTAGTAAAAAGCATGCTATGTATTCTTTCAAGTATTGTAATCAAACATAGGGTATATTTGTTAAAAACAAAGTTGTAACAATTTCTGCAATAATTTGAACATTGAATCACTGGCAAAACTTGAATTTCAAAATTGTTAATTTGTCTTTCTCAGATGTAATTTAAATAAAATCAGTTTAAGATATTTCTAAAAAATGATTTGCAAAGAAACAAATGTTATTTTTATGCTATCAAGGTTAGTTTCCAAAGTAAAGATTATGTGCTATTCACACTTTAAATATATATACTTATTTATATTATTATTAAATAGAGGATTCTTCTGCCATTGTCACTACTTTCTCCTCAAAAGAAGAGACCATATGTTTTAGATAAAATAAAAAGAGCTCTATACAGAGGCCTGCTTATCTTTAAGGTCTCAATGAAGATAATCTGCCTTAGTAAGGGAAAAATCATAAATATCATGAAAATATAAAATATAGTTCATTATATATGTGTATAAATACATGTGCATTATGTATGTGTGTATATATATCTATAAACAAATATGAAAATATATGTATTGGTATAGATGCACAAATATATATATATATACAAATGTATATATTTGTATATATGCAAATATATATATTTTTTGCATTGGTTGTATGATATAGGAAGTCTTGAATAAGTATGAGCTATTTTCATTCCCCACAAATTTGATATTGAGTGTTTATAAGATAAAATATATGAAAGTATTCTTTGTTTATACTATTAATACCCTGTTAATAGTATAAACAAAGAAAGAAAAAGAAACAAGGAGAAATATTTCCTTGTTAAATATCATTGCCTTTTCCTTGATACACCAGAGATAAACCAAAGTAAGATATTCACCATCTTGGAATTCTTGACAGTGGCAGATGGCAGGGAGGTTATAAGATTTTTACTTGCTCCCAAAGGACACTGTGACTATGCTGATTATACTTATCTTAACATACTAATTTTCTGTTTATGTGTCTGTCTCTGAGAATGGAAACCATTAATATAGCTCTCTACATTAACACGACCTTACACTCACTCTACTGCCTCCTACTTTATTCTACGAGCTTCTGGAATTCTTCAATATCTATTGAAGAATTGCATATCTAGTGTAATTCTAGAATTGCACTAGAATCTAGTGTATAAACTATTGATTAATGCTTTCTATTGAATATAAATTCTTCAATTGATATTATGA